CTCTTGCCTCAGCCTCCCAAGTAGCTGGGACAGCAAGCATGTGCCACCACTCCCAGCTAATTTTTGTATTTTTAGTAGAGACAGGGTTTCACCATGTTGGCCAGGATGGTCTCAATCTCTTGACCTCATGATCTCCCCACCTTGGCCTCCCTAAGTGCTGGGATTACGGGCATGAGCCACTGCACCTGGCCATAAGTTGAAATTATTTAAAAAGTAAATAAAAGTAAAGTATACAGAAGAATGCACGTGGGCTATATGCCAATAACATAACATTTTACACAAGGATCTTGAGCATCTGCAGACTTGGGGATCCATGGGGAGTCCTAAAACAAATCCTCCACAGATGCTGACAGACAACTGTACTAGCAAACCTATTAGGTTGGTGCAAAAATAAAATTGCGATTTTTGTCAAAATAATTCAGCAACATATAAAAAGAAATATGTACTGTAACCGAATGGAATTTACCCTAGGAATACAAGGTTGTTTTAACATCTAAAATATCAATGTAATATACCACATTATCAGAATAAAGGGCAAACATAATCATCTCAATAGACACAGAAAAAGCATTTGACAAATATCCAACACCCTTTCATGATAAGAACTAACTAGGAATAGAAGGAGCTTATTCAACCTGATAAAGGTAATCTACAAAAAAATCCACAGCTAACACTGTACTTAATGGTAAAAGAGCAAATGTTTTTCCTATAAAAGCAGAAAAAGACGAGGATATCTATTCTCACCACTTCTGTTCAACATTGTATGGGACACTCTAGCCAGAGCAATTAGGCAAGAAAAGAAATAAAAGGCATTGTAGACTGAAAGGAAGAGGTGAAACTATTTGCAGATGACATAATCTTATATAGAGAAAATCCTTAAAAATACACTGAAAATTATTAGCATTAATAAAGAACTTCAACAAGGTTGCAGGGTACAAGGTAAATATTGAAAAACCAATTGTAATTCCATACATTTGAAATGAAAGTTGCAAAAATGAAATTAAGAAAATAATTCCATTTACAGTAGCATCAAAAGAATAAAATACTTAAGAATCAATTTAACAGAAGAAATATAAAATGCATAGACCGCAAACTCAAAAATATTGCTAAAAAAATATTTTTTTCTTTTTCTTTAAGAGACACAGTCTCACTCAGACACTCAGGCTGGAGTGCAGTGGCACGATCATGGCTTACTACAGCCTTGACCTCCCAGGCTCAAGAGATCCTCCCACTTCAGCCTCCCAAGTAGCTGGGACTACAGGTACATGTACCCATGCCCAGCTAATTTTGAAACAGAAAATTTCCCTTGACCCCTCTGTGGGCCTCGTGGCAGGGGCGCCTTGCTTACTCAGCCTGCAGCCCTCAATCCCTCCCAGGAGAGAGAGCAGTCAGGTGAGCGGGCATAGGAGTCAGAGTGCGCACTTTTGGGCACGGACAGGAGCAAAATTTTGTGCAGGTCCCATACCAGCATCTAAGGGGGCGTATCCATGACCCTGGAAGCCCCAGAGGGCACATGTTAGAGTGTTCTTTTAGTTTTGCTATCCATAGATGGCAGAGGTGTTTAAGAGCTCAGAGGGTCAGTGTGATAGCTTTATGTATCCTGAGCTTTCTGTATCCCAAGCTCTTGTCCAATGTCCAGGAAAAATCAGGTTGCACAAACAAATTGATGTTCATGGATTGAACAATATTGTTAAGACGGCAATGTTAACCAAATTAATGTACATATTCAATACGATCCTTATCAAAATCTGAGCTGACTTTTCACAGAAATTGATACGTTGGTCCTAAAAATCCTATGCAAAAGCAAGGGATCCAAAATTGTGAAAACAATCTTGGAATAGAAAAAGTTCCTATTTTTTATTACTTACTCACTTCCTAAGTTCTTACCTGCTCACTTCCTAATTTCAAATCTTACAATGTTCTAGTAATCAAGATATCATTATACTGATAAAAATCAGACATGTAGATCAATGGAATAAAATTGAACATTTAGAAATAAACCGACATTTATGGTCAATTGACTTTTGACAAGTGTCAAAACAATTCAGTGGGGAAAAAATGGTCTTTCAATAAATGCTGCTGGGACAATTGGATAGCCAAACCAAAAACACTCAGAAAGGGGGCTGGGCATGGTGGCTCATGCCTATAATCATGGTGGCTCATGCCTATAATCCAGCACTTTGGGTGGCCGAGGCAGGCGGATCACCTGAGGTCAGGAGTTTGAGACCAGCCTGACCAATATGGAGAAACCCTGTCTGTACTAAAAAATACAAAATCAGCCAGGTATGGTGGCACACGCCTGTAATTCCAGCTACTCGGGAGGCTGAGGCAGGAGAATCACATGGACCTGGGAGGCAGAGGTTGCAGTGGGCTAAGATCACGCTATTGCACTCCAGCCTCGGCAATGAGAGTGAAATTCCATTTCAAAAAAAAAAAAAAAGACTCAGAAGAAAGGATCATAGACCTAAATGTAACAGCTAAAACTATTTCAAAATAAAAAATGCTTAGAAGAAAATGTAAGAGCAAATTTTCATGATCTTGGATTGGGCAAAATTTTCTTGGATACAAAAAGAAAAACACAAGTAATGATTTTTGTAAAAACAGACAAAATGGACTACATTAAAACGTAAAATTGTGCTAAAAATGATATCATTAAGAAAGTGAAGAGACAACCCATACAATGGGAAAAAATATTAGCAAATAACGTATCTGATGAGGGCGTGTATCTAGCCTATATAAAGAACTGTAGTAACTCAGTAACTAAATAATAGCCCAATTTTTAAAATGGGCAGAGGATCTGAACAGATATTTCTCTAATGAACATATACAGATGGCCAATAAATGCATTAAATAATGCTCACCATCATTAAGGGAAATTCTAATCAAAACCAAAATTAGAGACCATTTAACACCCACTAGGACGGCCATAATCAAAATGACCATAGTCAGTGATGGGGAACATGTGGAAAAAGTGGTACCCCCGTGCCTTGCTAGGGAGAATATAAAATGGTACACCCACTGTGGGGAACAATTTTGTAGTTCATCAAAGGTTATAATACAAAGTTACCAAATGATCCTGAAATTCTACTCCTAGATATATATTCAAGAGAAATGGGAACATTTCTATTATTCTCTTCAACTTTGCCTCCTAACGTGTTATCTCGTAGTCAAAAGACATGGTCTTGACATTGCTTCCATATTCCAGGATAAAAGAAGGTAAAGGTAAAAGAACAAACTTCAAAACATGCTTACTAGTTAAGTATGCTACTTTTTTTTCCAGGAAAACAAGAGGTTTACCAGAAACTTCTGTGTGTTCACTGAGTAGAATATCTGTCATATGGTCACCCTCGGATAAAGATGACTATGGGAAAGGCTGTGGGTTCAGATGGGGGCAACCATCCAACACTGTCTACCACCATAACTCATTTATGCATTGCTTTATTTAGCACTGTCTTATACAGATTTACTTCTCCACTGGATCTTACAAATTTACATATAGTTAGGCTTTGGTGACACTCATGCGTGGGGTAGGGCTTTAGATATTATCTGGTCTAACATACCCCACCTCATGATGAGCAGGGCATCATTCACGTTTCACTTGAACAATTTTACAAATCACCATTTCATCAGGTAGTCCATCCTGGCCATTGACAGCTCTTATTACAAAAGTTCCTCTTTGGCCAAGCACGGTGGCTCCTGCCTGTAATACCAACACTTTCGGAGGCCCAGGCGGGTGGATCACAAGATGAAGAGATCGAGACAATCCTGGCTAACATGGTGAAGCCCCGTCTCTACTGAAAACATAAAAAGTAGTTGGGTGTGGTGGCATGTGCCTGTAATCCCAGCTACCTGGGAGGCTGAGGCAGGAGAATCACTTGAACCCCAGAGGCGGAGGTTGTAGTGAGCCAAGATCGTGCCAATGCACTCCAGTCTGGTGACAGAGCAAGACTCCATCTCAAAAATAAAAATAAAAATAAATTTTAAAAACCCTACACAAACAAAAGTTCCTCTTTATACAAGCTATCTAACTCCATGTGGGTTCATTTACCAAAAATATTAGTAGCTAAAGGATGTAAGTAATTAACATACAGTATATCTCATTTAAACCTTGGAACAGCTATTTAAACTGATAAACAGGCATCATTCATCTCATTTACCCAAGTGGGAACCTGAGCCTCAGCAAATTTAAGAGACTTTAATCTAGACTGTGCAATACTGACTCTAGGTTAACCTCTTTCCATGAGACAGCACTTCATATATTTCAAACAGGGGTTCTTACATAGTAAGGGTTCACAAACAATGCATGGATCAGTTTCAGATAGTCCATGAAGTTCTGAAAATTATATTCAATATTATATATGTGAGCCTGTTTTTTTTTGTTTTGTTTTGATTTTTTGAGACAGAGTCTCACTCTGTCACCAAGCTGGAGTGCAGTGGCATGATCTCTGCTCACTACAACCTCTGCTTACCCAGTTCAAGTGATTCTCCCGCCTCAGCCTCCTGAGTAGCTGGGATTACAGGCGTGCACTACCATGCCCAGCTAACTTTTGTATTTTTAGTAGAGATGGGGTTTCACCATGTTGGCCAGGATGGTCTCGATCTCTTCACCTCGTGATCTGCTCACCTTGGCCTCCCAAAGTGCTGGGATTACAGGTGTGAGCCACTGTGGCTGGCCAAGCCTGTTTTTACAGAGAGGCTCTAAAAGAATCTGTGACTGGCCAAGGAGTTAACAACAGTTGACGGAAAGATGATGATGAAGCACTTCTTCCTGGAGTTTTTACCTCCCCAGATGAAACATCTCTAGTTTCTCCAGTCATGCCTCTTGATTTCCCCTAGGCAGTTAGTTACAGGGTGTTAGTAATTAAGACATAGTCTTATCTCATTTAAACCTTGGAACAGCTATTTTAACAGATAAACCCCACTCAGATGTGTTCTTCCTCATTGTATCAAGTGACAGTCACCTGAAAGTCACAATCGATTCCTGCAATCTCCCATCCTACCTGCATTTTAACACAAAAGCTGCCCATTTTTCTTTTTGGTGTATACGAATTCATATGCATTTCTTCATCTCAGCCTGGGCTCATGCAGTCTCTTCACGGCCCCCTTCCTGGCCCACCTTTCTTCAGCCATCTTCATGTGGGAGCCAACAGTCTTTCTAAATTATCAAGCAGATCACCTCACTCCCTTGCTTGAAAACCCTCCGTGGCTTCCCATGACACTGAGTAAACTTCAGCCTCCCACCCAGAGCACTTCAAACCTTGAGTGGTATGACCCAAGCCTTCCTCTGTGATGCTGCCTCACTCTCCCCTGCCCTCCTTTATTGCATCAGAGGTGCAGCAGTCTGCTCAGTCCCTAGGGCATGGCAGGTTTCTTCCCATCTCAGGACTCTTACACTCTTCTGGAATGCTCGCCAACCTATTTTTCCCATCCTTCCACCCTCAGTTAAAATATTATTTCCTTCTAGATATTGCCTCTGACACCTTCTAAATTAGGACCCATTCCCCACTACCTATATATCACAGCTCCCTCATAAGTTTTCATTAGCTAAATAGATAGCTTGTGTGTGTGCTCAATTATTTCATTTTCTCCTTTAGACTATAAGCTCCATGAGGGTAGTTTTCATATTTGTCTTTTTGTTGCTGTTGTTGAGATGGAGTTTCGTTCTGTTGCCCAGGCTGAAATGTAATGGTGCCAGCTGAGCTCATGGAAATCTCTGCCTCCCAGGTTCAAGCAATTCTCCTGTCTCCACCTCCTGAGTAGCTGAGATTATAGGCATGTGCCACCACATCTAGCTAATTTTTGTTTTTAGTAGAGATAGGGTTTCACCATGTTAGCCAGGCTGGTCTCGAACTCCTGACCTCAGGTGATCCACCTGCCTCGGTCTCCCAAACTGTTGGGATTACAGGCATGAGCCACTGCACCTGACCTCATATTTGCCTTTAACCACTATATTTCCAGTGGTTGGTACAGTGTTTGGTGCATAATAAATACTCAAAACTTCACTGAAGGGAAAGTTGATTTCAAGTCCTCTCACCATCCTGGACATATTCTAATTTGAAATATATGCCTTAAAATGTGGTCCCCAATACTAAACTCAAATTTCCAGGTGTATTCTATTTCAGAGGGGTATAGGCATGCCACATTTGCATAATTCTTTTCTCCTCTCCAGTATCAGAATCGTCTATTTCATGAGCCTAAACAAATAGTCTAATAAGGTCTGTAGCTGTGCGTCTCTGCCATTGACAGATGTGACCATTCATATATACAGCCACTACAGTCTCAATGTCTGTGTCCCTGTCAAACTTGTATGTTGAAATCCTAACCTCCAAGGGCATGATATCAGGAGGTGGGGTCCCTGGGAGGTGATCAGGTCATGAGGGGAAGCCCTCATGAATAGAATTCATGCCCCTATAAAAGAGGCCTGAGAGAAACTCCTTGCCTTTTCTACAAGGTGAGGACAGAGCAGGATGGCACCACCTACGACGAAACAGACTCTCACTAGACACCGCATCTGCCTTGATCTTGGACTCCTCAGCCTCAGGAACTCTAAGAAATAAGCTTCCATGGTTTCGAAGCTACTGAGTTTATGGCTTTTCATTATAACAGCCCCAATGGACTAAGATACCAACAAGCCACAAATTAAAGGATTCTGAGTAAAACATCAGCACCAGAATGCAAGCCTCTGGCTCACAATTCAGCACTCTTTGTACTGCCTCCCTGAAGTCAGGTGAAATGTCCCCAATTAAACTTTGATCCCCAAGTAAAAAGTATTTCAATATTTCAGACATGGGTGTATATACAACGAAGAACTCTATTCTATGATCTGCCGCCAAGACACACGGATGGCTCACACCATCCATGTTTCCCCTTCTCACTTCATGCAGCAAAGCACAAAGGCACCCAGAGTCCCAAGTATTCGGGCTGGACACAAAAGATTCAGCTTATTTTCTGAGTGACAGGGGTACATTCAAAAGATGTCCTGTAATTCAGATATGGAAACAAGCTAGAGCTGGGAGAGGCTGCTGAGAAATCAACTTGCCATCTCAGCTTTGTGAGATAGCAAAACATAAAATCAAACGAGTCTGCTGAAATTATTACCATCTCGCTATCACCAACAGTGATGTGGTGGATGGTAGGGGAGCATCAATCACCTGAAAATATCTAATCACAGTCGAGACCTTTCATTTTACCATTAAAATTCTAAACTGCCCCCAGCCTGATTTCTTTTAAGCAAAGGCCCACAGGCCTTACACATTTCATGGCGATTTTCTCTGGTTATGTAGGCTGTATTTTTTTCTAGTGTCTCACTTTTGTCCTCCTCCTCCTTTCATTCTCTCAGTTCAAATGGACACAACCTGGTTCCTATCACCTAGAGATGAATTAACCTTTCCAAATATCCTGACACCGACTTCCTAGAAAAGTTCCCTGGAGCTCTATAGCTGTTGGGGAAGAGAGGCAGCTTGGCTTTGACTTCAATATACATTTCAAAATACCTTTTGCAGGACGGCTGGAAATAAGGAACTAATAACAAAGCACTTCTAAAATTACTGGTACATCTGAAGCATTCCGCCTGGTGCACAGCCTTTGAGGGTCTTTAATTCATCAATTAAGTGATCAAAGATCTTGTTCAAGATACGATTACATGTTCTCTTTGCGCAATCGTACTAAAATGGATAGCATTCCAAAAATCAAACGGGTTCCAGAGCTAAAAATAAAAACAGACAAAATGACACCCAAACATTCATCACTTTCCAAAAGCAAGGCTATGCTTAATCCCTAACGATCCTGGAATATGAATGCTAGGACAAGTCATTCCACAACGAAGATGTCAAAGGAGGGACCTGAAGCTTCCACACTCCTTAAAGCAGCTACTATGCATTTAGGTTGTAGCCAGGTCCTTTCAGAACCAGGACATGGGTGAGAGGCTAGACAGAGAAGGCTAGACAGAGACGTCCTGGCTACTGGCCAAAACCAACTCCAAGAGCAAAGAATTCCAGTCATATAGAATAGAGGTCTTTGAGTGACTGCCGATGACCTTTGTGACGTACACAGGATTAGTCTTCCTTATACCACTAAAAACAAAACAATGTTATGGCCCAAGAATTCGAAGGAAATGTTTCTTAAGTTACCACAATTCTTCTTAATCCCTCTTCCCCAGGGGCCAGTTATTATGATCGTGCTTTGTCTGATCACATTTTATCCTTGATCATCTAAAAGAGGAGTTAGTAAACTATGTCTGTAAAAGTTAGGATAACAAAACAAACTGTGGGCCCCTTAGTCTCTTTTGCAACCACCCCATTCTGCAATCGTTTCACGAAAGCAACTAGAGACGACATGTCAGTGAAGGGGCATAGCTGTGTTCCAATAAAACTTTATTCGTAAAAATAGGCACTGGTCCAAATTTGGCCCATTGTCAGTAGTTTGCTGGCCCCTGCTCTGTCACATGGTCATGACTATAATCCACACTTGTCTACGTCACTAGTTTACGCAATCTGCCACAGCATTCTTGTTCATAGGCTGGGTAGTTTGAAGGAGGATGCTTGCTGAGTGTGATGGTTTTGGGGCAAAAATAGAATTGATCTGATAGGGGGAAAAGTTACTAAGCCACCAGTGTAATTTCATATGGTTTTCCCTTCAAAAAGTTCATTTCACTCTCCAAATTTTTAGGCAACATTGTTTCTTTTTAAAGAAGTAAGATTTCACATTGCATTCCAGTTATTTACTACCTGAGTTTGGTCTTAACAAATAGGATTTTGTTATTCTCTGTCATCAACGGGGCAACCACATGTGGTTTTGATTGATAAAATTGTGATAAAAGTCACTGTATCCTTAAAAAAAGTGATTGAAAAATGTTCAGACTGCCGTGGAGAATGTAGGGGGGAAATGAGGGGACTGAATTTCGACAAAAGACATGCCAGATTCTTTTTCTTGCTCTCAATATTCAACATTCGCCCACTACTCAGTATCTAATTAGATACTGGAACAATGCAGGGATCATGTGTCTCTCTTTAAGCTGTTGGTACAGTTCATCACACTACAGTTAGCACCGGATACACTTAGGTGCCCCTCCAGAAACCAGTACTGGGTGACATCACATGCTATGTCGCAAACAATGGAACATAAATTAAGTGCGGATGCTTTCAGCCATTCAAAACACTTGCAGTCATTTTGGTTTTCCCTTTTTTTTTTTTTTTAACTTCAAACCCACATTCATTTTGATGCTTGAAAACTCTCTCTTGTCTCCCAACTTTTTTTCAGAAACAGGTACCCCTTGCTACCCAGAGCATTTTCTGCTTCTCAGAAAAATCACAGTCCAATTTATTTTTAAAATCATACGGGCCATGTAATAGTTCTATCCACATTGTTTGAGCTCTGTGGAAATGATTGGCTTGATTGACTTATGATTAAGAACAAAACACAGTGAATTTCTTGTAAACACCATGGTCAGCCACCGTATCACATATATAGGTCCTTACATACAGACAGTCAAAAAGTGAGAATGGGTATCAAAGCTGTCTGCTATGTGATTGATTCCTTCACTGACTAACAATATGAATAGCTGAGAACCAACGTCCCATCTTCATGCTCTGCCCTTTCTAATACAGAACTAGAGAAGAAAATTATGTAACTCACCCATTTGCATGGGAAATGTTGAGGATGCCAAAAAATACACAGACATGGTCAGACCTTTTTTAATTTAGAAACATGTGTTGTTTGTGAAGAAGCATAAATATCCTAAAACTCTCTTCCATATGTCTGCTTTCCTCCCTTTGGGCTACGTTCCAAAGAGGCTCTAGTAGTTCCAAATCTGGCTTCTATGTTTGCATGCAAAATATGAAACACTAATGCTGAGCAGGCTTTATAAATGCTTTTCATCACAGTGACTAATATTAAAATATTCCATGAAATTGTGTTTTAATTAAAATGATGGCTTAAAAATTTTCTTTTTCCAAGACGGCATCTCACTGTCACCAGGCTGGAATGCAGTGGTACAATCTTGGCTCACTACAACCTCTGCCTCCTGGGTTCAAGTGATTCTCCTGCCTCAGCCTCCTAAGTAGCCAGGATTACAAGTGCTCAACACCACACCCAGCTAATTTTTGTATTTTTAGTAGAGACAGGGTTTCACCATGTTGGCCAGGGTGGTCTCCATCTCTTGACCTCATGATCCACCCACCTCAGCCTCCCAAAGTGCTGGCATTACATATATGAGCCACTGCGTCCGGCTGGCTTAGAATTTTTTAATACATAATATTTGTACATATTTATGGGATGCATGTGATATTTCAATACATGCATAAAAGGTATATAATGATCAAATCAGAGTATTTAGAATATCCATCACTGTGAACATTTATCATTTCTGTCTAGTGGGAATATTTCAGATCTCCTCTTGAAGATCTATTTTAAATACACATTGTTATTTTAAGATACATTGTCAACTAGAGTGACTCTACTGTGCTATCAAAAACTAGATTTATTTCTTCTATCTAATCGTATGTTTGTACCCATTAAACAATGTCTGTTCATCTCCCACCCCCACCCCGTGCACAGCCTTCCCAGCCCTGCTATCATTCTACTCTCTACCTTCATGAGTTAACTTTAGTTCCCACATAAATGAGAACATGCGATGTTTATTTCTCTGTGCCTGGCTCATCGTACATAACACAATGACTTCCAATTACAGCCATGTTGCTGCAAATGACAGGATTTCATACTTTTCATGGCTGCATCGTATTTCATTGTGCAGATATACCACATTTCCTTCCTCCGCTCATCAGCTGATAGACATTTAGGTTGATTTCATATCTTGGCTATTGTGAATAGTGCTGGAATAAACATGGTGCAAGTATCTCTTTGGTACACTGATTTTCTTTCCTTTGGATAAATACCCAGTAGTAGGATTGCTGAAATGCATGGCAGCTCTATTTTTAGTTTTTTGAGACACCTCTACACTGTTTTCCATAATTTACATTCCCACCAACAGTATATAAAAGTTCCCTTTTCTCCATATCCTTGCCAGTTTTTGTCTTTCTGATGATAGCTATTCTAATTGGAGTGACGGGATTATCTCATTGTGATTTTGACTTGCATTTCCCTAATAATTGGTGATGTTGAGTATTTTTCTACACACTTGGCTATTTGTATGTCTTCTTTTGAGATATGTCTATTTAGATAATTTGCTCACTTTTTAATCAGATTATTTGGGGTTTGCTGTTGAATTCCTTGTATATTCTAAATATTAGTCCCTTGTCAGATGATATTTCGCAAATATTTTCTACCATTCAATAGGTTGTTTCTTCATCTGTTATTTCCTTTGCTGTGCAGAAGCTTTTTAGTATAATATATTCCATTTGCCTATTTAAGTTTTTATTGCCTATGCTTTTGGGATCTTAACCATAAAATCTTTGCCTAGACCAATGCCCTGGAGCATTTCCCCTGTTTTCCTCCAGTGGTTTTATGGTTTTGAGTCTTCCATTTAAGTCTTTGATCCATTTGGGGTTAACTTTTGTCTATGGTGAGAAATAGCGATCTAGTTCTTTTGCATATTGATTTTCAGTTTTCCCAGCATCATTTATTAAAGAGCATGTCCTTTCGCCAGTGTATGTTCTTAGCACCTGCATCAAAATTCAACTGGCTATGAATTCAGTTGGATTTGTTTCTGGGTTCTCTGTACTGTTCCACTGGACTTTGTGTCTGTTTTGGTTGCTGTAGCTTTGTAGTCTATTCATTCTACAGTCAGGTAGTGTGATACCTCTAGCTTTGTTCCTTTTGTTCAATACTGCTTTGGCTGCTTAGGCTCTTTTGGGCTCTTGTGATTTCATATAAATTCTATAATTTTATTTCTATTTCTGTGAAGAATGTCATTGGTATTTTGCTAAGGATTGCATTTAATCAGCATATTGCTTTGTAGTATGGTCATTTAAAAAATATTAATTTTTCTGACCCACGAATATGGGATGTCTTTTCATTTGCCTATGTTCTCTTCCATTTCTTTCATCAATGTTTTGTAGTTTTCCTTGTAATGGTCTTTCACCTTCCTGGTGACATTTATTACTAGGTTGTTTCTTTTTTTCTGCAGCTATTATAAATGGGACTGCCTTCTTGATTTTTGACTGCTAATTATTGGTGTATCGTATACAAATGCTATCAACTTTCATACTTTAATGTTGTAGCATGCAACTTTACTGAAATTATTTGTTCTAACAATATTTTGGTGGAGTCTAGGACTTTCAATATGCAAGATCGTATCATCTGTAAAGAGGGACAATTTGACCTACTCTTTTTCAATTTGCATGCTTTTTTCCTTCTGCCTGATTGCTCTGGCTAGAACTTCTAGTACTATGTTGAATAGAAGTGGTAAAAGTGTGCATCCTTGTCTTTTTCCTCTATGCATTCATAGAGGAAAGGCTTTCAGCTTTTACCAATGCAGAATGTTAGCTGTGGGTTTGTCATTTATGGACTTTATTATGTTGAGGTATATTTCTTCCATGCCTGACTTGTTGACAGTTTTTATCATAAAGCAATGTTAAATTTTATCAAATGCTTTTTCCATATAAGTTGAGATCATTTTGTGGTTTTGTCCTTCATTCTGCTGATGTCATGTATCAAATTTATTGATTTACATATGTTGAACTATCCTTGCATCCCTGGCATGAATCCCACTTGACCGTGGTGCATTATCTTTTAGCGTGTTGTTAGACTCAGTTTGCTAGGGTTTTGTTGAGGACTTTTCCATCTATGTTCATTCGGGATATTGGCCTCTAGTTTTTTGTTGTTGTGGTTGTGTCCCTGTCTGGTTTTGTTATCAGTATAACACTGGTCTTGCAGTTAGGAAGAATCCCCTGCTTTTAAATTTTTTGGACCAGTTTGAGAAGAATTGGTATTGGTTATTGATAACTCTGGCAGAATTAGACAGTAAAGCCATCTGATCCTGGGCTTTTATTTATTGGAAGCGTTTTTTTAAATTACTAATTTAATCTCATTATTCATTATTGGTCTGATTAGGTTTTCTATTTCTTTGTGGTTCAGACTTGGTAGATTTGATGTGTCCAGGAATTTATCCATTTCTTCTAGGTTTTCCAGTTTATAGCATATTGTGGGTTATAATAGTATCTGATCTGGTTTATTGAAAGGTTCCAGGAGAGTGACTGTCACCCCATAGGGACCCACTCACGAGCCACACTGAACGTTTAACAGACCTACCGCTAACTCCTCAGTTCTCCATTTCTTACTTGCTTTTCAGTAGTTCAATTCTTTTTTCTTTTTCTATAACTTTATTTTGTGCCATTTATACTATCTCCAAGACAGAAATGTGAGCCTTGAGCATCTAAGAAAAACTTAATTTCAAAACCGTATGAAGTGAATTCACCTCAAAGGATGGGGATAGTTTGGGTGAAAATACGAATAATTTTGATCACTTCTACCTCAAAAGACTATTGTCAAGTCAAGTATTTAGTCAGGGCCTGATTCAAAGCAAAAACACAATGAAAAATGATCTCAGCTCATCTTCATCTCTCTGGCCAAAGGAACAATAATATCTATATCCAATTTTTACAGGAGTCAAAGAGATACATGTAATAATTATTCTAATTACCAGTGTTTTATAAGGGAATTCATTGTGTTATAAACAACTTAAAATTTATATAAAGCAGCTTTCTTCAGTCCAGAGTTCTGTCCTGTGAGTGGAACTACCAACCTATTATTTCAAAGTTCGCCTTTATGTTGAAGTTTCTCAACTGATTATTTTCATTTTTCTTCCCTGAATCTTTTCTAGATCCATTACACTTTTACTCAATTACAGCAAACAAAGCAACATGGGATGGCTACTCTGGCAGTAGATACATTATGGTCTTAACATAGTATATTGTTATATGCTGAAAGACAACAAGTCCTATATACAGGTGTGTACAAAATCTCAAGTTGTTTTCTGCTGCAACTCTCAGCTGCAGGGATAGATGTAGTTTTCTCTGGTTGGCTCCTTTAGTAATTGGCAAGAGTCAAGATGGAAAAAGATTCCTTTCCCCTACTCAGTAACCCAGAGAATGCTGCCAACTACTGTTTTGTTTAAGCTATTATTTTGTTCGGCTTGAAAATTTTTAAAAATATACAGTAATAAACGCTTTTGGAAAAAGCATGGTCACCACTGATAGAATTAAAATATATAGAATATATTTCAAAACTCCACCTCCAAAAAAAAAGTTGATGAAAATTAAAATGAGTACACATGTCATGATACAAAAGATAGCAAACAGTGAAAATATATTCTAAAAAGCTCAGAAAGAAATCAGAGTAATATAGATTAAGCTATCAATCTTAATAATACATAAAACAAGTTAAAAACTCAAAGACAAAAATTCTTAGGTTACATTTAAAGAAAAAATACAATTTACCTAAGCACTTACAAAGTGACACAGAAAGTTGAAAAGCAGGACCAGACATGGTGGCTCACGTCTGTAATCCCAGCTCTTTAGGAGGCCAAGGTGAACGGATCATGAGGTCAGGAGATAAGACCATCCTGTCCAACATGGTAAAACCCCGTCTCTACTAAAAAATACAAAAAACATTAGCCAGGTCTGGTGGTGTGTGCCTGTAGTCCCAGCTACTTGGGAGGCTGAGGCAGGGGAATCGCTTGAACCTGGGACGTGGAGATGGCAGTGAGCAGAGACTGCACCACTGCACTGCAGCCTGGCAACAGAGCAAAACTCCATCTCCAAAATAAAAATAAATTTTAAAAAAGAAAGTTGAAAAGTAGAAGGATAGAAAAAGATATGGCACACCAACATAGACCAAAAGAGAGTAAGAGCTCCAATATCGGTAAAAGCAAAAAACAAGGCCAAAAGTATAATAGATAGAGAAGGTATTATGTTCATAAAAGGTACAATATATATGAAACTATAATAGTCATTAACATTTATACATGGAAAAACATTGCCCTGAAATAGAAAAGTAAATTTAGAAGAAGGAAAAATCAACAAACATAAGAAACACTAGGGTATAAATCTGACAAATTAAATAGTCAAAATGTAAGTAATAACACCTTCACACAAGTCAAACATTTTAATACCCATGGAATTTAAGATTATTTTGCCATATATTACCTATAAAGAAATACTAACTTCCAAACAGTAAAAATTATACAGGAAGTATTTTCCATTTTTTGTCCATAGCATAATAAACATTTAAGCATAAGCAAAAGCAAACAGGACAAAACAAAACCTTCAGTAGCCT